AAAAAAAAAAATCAGTATCTCAATGGTATCTGCTGACTGTTCAGGAAATAGATTTTGATTCTTTGTGAATCAAGAAATCTTTGAACCAGGACTGTTCTGCAATAATACTTAGTAGGCTCTACTATAAGCCAATTGCTCTTAGCTTCCTTCTGGTACATCTCTTATGGTCTACTGTTGCTTACTATGAGGTTATTGAAAATTTAATTTGGGTATACTACACCTTAGTATTCAAATGATAGCTTTGCTTTTTAAGGAGATCTTTTATAGTGAATTTGCCCAATGCAGTACATTCTTTGATTTCTAGAATGATTGTAGATTCAAGTCAAATGAAATGCTTTGCAACTTGAATCTTTTTTCTCACATTGTTTTTATGTCCAGTTGGGAGGATTTTTGTTTTTGTTTTCTTATGTTGAGATATGATCTGCTGAAGGTTGTGATCAATGATTTTCATCAGTATGTGCCTCGAGTCTTCTCTACCTTATAACACATGGCTGTGCCATTTTCTTATCACAAGTTAATGAGTCTTCCCTTTTACCCTGTGCCCACATTCTTCAGAGTCCAAATTTTAGGTTATTTGCTCAGTATGCAGAATGAAAAGGCGTGCTGTAGAAGAAGAGGTATGGGAGGATGTTGATTGGATTATGTAATTTTGTTGTGACTGTTGATAGTTAACAAGGTTTCTTTTGATTATAAAAATTGTGATTACATACAGATAAGAGTCTGCAACACAGGGAATCCAGGATAGATAAACCCCTCAGGGACAACAATGAGAGTAGAGATACCAATAGGATTAGGGGTTGGTGGGAGGATAAAGGGGAAATCGATCACAAGGATAAAACTAGAACCCCCTCCCAGGGGGACAAATAACCGAAAAGTAGGTGAGGGATGATAGAGGACGATGTAAGATATGGAAAAGATAATCTATAACTTATCAAGGGTTCATGAGGGAGGGTGGATGGGGGAGGGAGGGGGAAGAAATGGGGAGATGATATCTGGGGCTCAAGTGGGAAATAATAAAAATATTTTTTTAAATTGTAATTACAGAAGCAGTGATTGTGAAAGAGTGGGTTAAAGGGCAATGTAAAAATGGCATGGGGATGCCATCTTACCTCCTCAGACTTCACACAGGGGAAGGAGAATTAACCGAACCTCAGCCCAAGGCCAGTTCCTTTGAACCAGAGATCAGTGGCGCCTCCACCCTGCAACCTTCTTCTTCCTCAGCCCTTCCATGGCATTCTCCACTTCTGTGCTAGATTTCATCCTTCATTGCAAATGGCCCCACGAACTCAGACAGGACTCAACGATGAGGGTTAGTTAGGGAATTTTAAACATTGCAATTCAGGACAGGACTCCTTCACTGTGCCCTGTGAGGCAGTATTCACAAAGCTCATTTCACATTGCTGATAAATGATTCTGGAGGAGCCCACCTGTAACCTCAGCCCCAAAGCACTCGGCTCTAGTTCTGAGAGTTTACAAACCTGCTTCTCCAGAGAATGCCCACAGGTTCTCCATTGAGCAAGCAAGTCTCCTGATGGAAGGCTCAGCTGTTTTCTTTCATGCCCAGAATCTTGTCCATCTGTCTCATGAGCTTGATGGTGCTGCTGCTCTGGTGTCACTGCTCTCTGTCTTTTGGATCAGGGAGATTCAGCATGCATGGATTTTAGTATGCTTATATAACTTTGTTTCTATATTTACTACTTTTACCTTTATATTTGTTTACATTATTTTTCCCTGTGTGCAAATAAAATTAAACAGAGCATGATAGTTAGGTTTCTTTTGCTAACTAGGCCAATGAAGGAAGATGTACATGGTATATAATTTATATTCATATAGTTGTCATTAGATCTAATTTACATGGATGCATTTTGAAATTATGGCTCTATTGGAGATCAACAGGAGGGACTCATTATTCTCTTCTTTTCTAGAAATCTGGAAAGCCGATAATTATTTGCTTGGGTGCACACAAAATGAAAGAAGAGTGGACAGAATAGAACAGTGCTATGAATATGATGTGTTGGAACATGTGCATCAGCACCAAAATAACTTTCCTCTTATGGGAAATCATGGGATACTTGACTTACATGAAAAAGCTATGAAATCAGTTTTAACTTTTCCAACAATCAACCAGAGCAGAAGCAATAAAATAAGCGAGTCTATTGTGCTTAGTGGAGGTGAGAAGACCTTTCTCTATGCTGACCAAGAGCAATTTTGTACTGAAATGAAATTTGCTGAGTGTGAAAAATCTAATAGCTTTAAATCACAACACATTAAGCATCAGGAAAAGAACATCAATCCCATTACTCATCAGCAAATTCATACTAGAGAGAATCGCTATGTATGTAGTTACTGTGGAAAAGGCTATTCACAGAGGAGAGAACTCATTATTCATGAGCGAATCCATACAGGTGAGAAACCCTATACATGTAGTCAGTGTGACAAAGGCTTCACCAGTAAAAGTAGTCTCACTGCTCATCAGCGAATTCATAGTGGAGAGAAATCCCATATATGCAATGATTGTGGAAAAGGCTTCTTTTGTAAAAGTCAACTCCTGCTCCACCAGCGAATTCATACTGGTGAGAGACCTTATATATGCAATGAATGTGGGAAAGGCTTTATCAGTAAAGGTACTCTCACTACTCATCAGCGAATTCATAGTGGAGAGAAACCCCATATATGCACTGATTGTGGAAAGGGTTTCTTATGGAAGAGAGAATTCCTGCTCCACCAGCGAATTCATACTGGTGAGAGACCCTATATATGCAATGAATGTGGGAAAGGCTTTACCAGTAAAAGTATTCTCAGCGCTCATAAACAAATTCATACTGGAGAGAAACCCCATATATGCACCGATTGTGGAAAAGGCTTCTTAAAAAAGATAAAACTCAGTCTCCACCAGCGAACACATACTGGTGAGAAACCCTATACATGCAGTGAATGTGGGAAAGGTTTCACCAGAGACAGTACTCTCATTTCTCATCAGCGAATTCATAGTGGAGAGAAACCCTATATTTGCACTTACTGTGGGAAAAGCTTCTTATGGAAGAGAATACTCATTCTTCATCAGCGACTTCATACTGGTGAGAAACCCTATACTTGTAGTCAATGTGGAAAAGGCTTCATCCGGAAGTTCTCTCTCACTGTACACGAGCGAGCTCATACTGGTGAGAAACCCTATGTATGCACTGATTGTGGGAAAGGGTTCACAGTAAAGAAGAATCTCACTGTGCACCAGCAAACTCATACTGGAGAGACACCCCATGTGTGTGGTGAATGTGGAAAAGGCTTCATCCAGAAAGGAAATCTCAAAATTCATTCTCGAACTCATACTGGAGAAAAACCCTATATATGTGGTGAGTGCGGTGAAGCATTCACTCAGAAGATAAGCCTTCAATTACACCAGAGATTTCAGACAGGAGAGAAATCTGTTTTATGCCGTGAATATGCAAAAGAATATATCCAGAAGTCAGAGCTCAGTCAACACCAGAAAATTCACAAAGAGCAACCTTTTCGTTGCAGTGAGTGTGAAAAAGCCTTCACAACCAAGCAAGAGCTCATTTTACACCAAGGATTCCATAAAGACCAGTTGCCTTTTTGCTGCAAGGATTGTGGAAAGGTTTTTGCCTGTGTCTCTAAGTTTGACTCACACAAAGAAAAACACAAAAGAGAAAAACATCTAAGATTAGTCAAAGTGGAAAATTGCTTCCCAGTGGGTCATGTGTTGTCACAGAACAGTGCTCTCATGCAGGAGAAGAACCCTGGTAATATACTGACCTTACAAATCCCCTCTGTGGCTACTCTCACACCAGTTAACACCAGTGGGATGCTAACTAATAGGAATGTCATTCTAGTGGGACAGCCTGTTGGCAGATGCGAACCATCGGGAGATAATAGAGAGTCTGTACCGCAGGAAAACCACACGAATGTAGTGAATATGGTAGTGCCTGTGAACCCAGTGCCCATGGCAGTGCCTCCAGTGTCCAATTACATCTTATTCTATGTTCCACAAAACTCGTAGGAGAAGCTGGCACATTCCCTGGGCACGAGGGTTGAGCAGATTGTCTACCTCATGTTATGCTACAAAGGGTATCCTGAGGGAAATCATGAATACAGAGACTGGAAAGCCTGATAGCCTCGATCGGTGCATGTGTACATTCCTATCCAGACTTACCTAACGTAATCCCCCTGTATATCAGTGAATTGCTTTGTTGCATCAAATGATCGAAAGTGAGTCACTGCCGTGGACAAAATAAAGTAACATTTTAAAACAGAAACAATGAGCATCTGGAACATTGCTTTTTTTAAAAAAATAAAAGTTTTATTGTTTTAAATAATAATCCACATATCATACAATTAAGTAGTTCAATCATCTCCAGAATTGTACAGTCATTACCCCAATTGGAATGTTGCTATTTATCAAGTCAGTTATGACCAATGGGGACTCTACTTTGTAATAATAACAAGTTGCTTCACTCACCTCTGGTAATGATTAATCATGTTTTGTGAAATCTATCAGATCACAACAAGCCCCTACAAATGCAATCTATCACACCGCAATGTTGCTTTGAAAATATTGCTATGTATGTTCAAATGTGCATCATTATAGGGGGGGGGTATATTCCTCATATGTAAATTGTTATGTGTATCTCTGGATGGTGCTTAAGTGTTGTATTAGAGTTTAAAGTCTTCTGACCCTGGTTTGCAGAAGGCTGTGGTTGAGAGTGACAGCCCAAAATCCATGTGCAGTATCCCCACGTAGATTAACCCTCATTGAATGCTTTCTGATCATGAGCCAAGATGTAGATAAGCATGGCCTCAGGCAGAGTGCCTTGGAAAGTAAATGATCTCCACCTGTCTCAACACAACTCTGGGAGAGTTTTGCCTAGGTGTGTCTTTAATGGAAACCAACACAAAACAACATAGTCTCACCCTGACTGCCATGGTTAGAAATTCCTGGACCCATCTTGTGAGCCCTTCTATGTAACAACGTGTATGTCCCAGTCGTGGTCTTGTTCCTGCCTTTGTGGTTGTGGAAAACTGAGGAACATGAAGAGAGTGTATGAGGACAAATTCTTTATTCTCCTATTTAAGAAGCCTGTTAACTGTTAGGTAGCCAGAACAGGAACAAGGGGGTTGTCCCTCCCAGGCCTACAAAAGCCCCCATAAGGGGCGTTGGGAAGCACTCAGGTGAAGAAAAATATTTTTCTTCAATAGACACCTATGAAGATCCTAACTGGGCATGCTCAAATTTAGGCCCCCAAGCCAGGTGGTAGGTACACTTAGGTGGTCCAAATTAGCCCACATCACCCAGGTGGGTTAACACCACCAACAAGGTCAACCAATACCTTCAACCATGCCTCCGGAGATAGTTAATGTTTATTGTGCCAACCTGGCCAATGAACACGTGGGATTAATTGAAGGGCAGAGAGATAAATGGCTCAGCGAACCTCGCTTCTCGTCTCTTGCTCATTGATTATCGGACCAGTGTGCGGCTGCCTGGCTTGTTCTCTGCCTCAGTTTGCAAGCTACACTACCTGTGGGACACCTAACCCGTGGACTGTGTCGCTGTAATATGAGGTTCCTTCAAGACCTGCTTAGCCACACCATTGGAATTTACATCTCTTGAGCTGGGGACTGTCAGACCCTGTCATCTGGCTGACTGTTGGTGACCTGCCTTGCTGTTTGCTGCCTGTGCCCCGATAGCCTGAATTGCTCTACAGAGGACTACCCGGCAGCCCTTAAGACTTGAAGGACTGCCAGTGTCTCACAAGGGGGGTGAGTTGCACTGAGCCATTTGTACTGCTTTATAATTTGTTTGTTTCTTATGTTATCTATCTGTATAAATACATATAAAATTATTAGCGTTCTGGTTTTGTTTCTCTAGAGAACCCTGTCTAACACACCTCCCCAGCCAGAGGTGTACACAGAAAGGCAGGTTGCAGCGTGAGGTCTCCTTCCCCCTGGAAGGGCCCACATTCACCCACCCAGGCTCACTCCTCGTGGACACAGCCTCTCTTACTCTCTTATACACTACCCCCCGCCCAGTACACGCTCATGCCCCACTCATGCCATGCTGCAGTTCCTCGCACATCTGATTGTGTTGTTCCCCGAGGTTGCTCCTATCTAGTTAACGAACCCCAGCCCAGTTTACGTGCGGCCAGACACATTTCCCTTTTGTGACTATAAGACCTGAAATTTCTCCCCTCCATCAAAACTCACTTGGATTACAAAACAGGCTTCAGTGTGAATTCTTTCTCATGCGAAGCCAAGAACCAAGGTTTTTACTCACTCGAGAGACCTTCTATAAGTAGACATGAAATCCTCTGGTCTATAAAGGAGAAAGATCGCTCAGCCAATTACTTTTGGCTCCTTACATTCCTGTTGTTAAAACTTAGGAGAGAGCACCTGAGAAATCTGACCGGCCTGTCAATCAGGGGTCTTTTGCAAGACTGCTGTGGAAAAGCAACAGTGCCCCCACAAGAGTATTAGAAGTTGAAGGAAAAAGATGTTTAAATTCTGGATATGGGTTCACCCCATAAGACATCCATAAGGGACTAAGGCTGGACCACTAACTTCTCTGGAATTCGACATAGAGGGACTAGGAGAAGTTAATGAGGAGAGAATGTGGTAAAATTGTAAAGTCCTACAGTGTAAAGAGCCTGAAGGGCAATACAGCTTCATTAAGCTTGTAACCACAATTGTAAACTTATAGGGAAACGATCTGTTTTATGAGTTAGTTCAAAGACAACTGAACAAAGTTATTAAGAATTTTTGGGGGGAAAAATTGTTGAATATTTCAGATTATCCTGTGTGTCAAAAAGGCTCAAAGTTCATCTGTTAGTCTTTTTTAACTAACACTGAGGGAAATATGATGAGGAGTATATTCCCTAACGTATAACAGAGGGAATCTGGAAAGCTGGTATCCCACGGTAGGAAAGCCTCCACTTTGGTAAGTTAGAGGTAAAGTCCAAGTACATTATCCTGCTTTAAATATCATTCCCACAGATTCTACCCTAACCGGTATGCTGCCTTAGAGTGAGCACATGGTGGATTTTATCTCCCTACAGAAGCAGACATCCTGTTGCTATCCCTTCCCTCTGGGTCACCCAGCACTACCACCCCCACCACCCCGCCCTACCTTCCCCCAATGCAGGTTTTAGGTTTCCTCACCTGTGAGCTCAAGGACTTAGTGTAGATACCACCCACCTTGTGACATATGTAACTACTGAATATGCATGTCTATGGCTACCTATAAATATCCCAAGATAGTAAAGGGGCTCTGTCCTCTCCCAGTTCCACGTGGTCCATCAAGAGGGGCTGAGATGAGCATGCTACCATAAAATGTGTCTGACTCCTTCATTTTATTCTCTCTCCTATCTTTACTATCCTCTATGTCTTTACTATCATCTTTATATATTATAACCATATAATTGCATCTACTGACCCTTAGGTTGTTAGAGGTTGGTTTCCTTTGACATCTCTACAGCTAATAAGCTCTCTTGATTCTATGAAATATATCTAACTTGTTTGGTTTTAAATCAAGCAAATTGCCTGAGATTGCTTACAGAACCTTAAAAATATCTCTTAATAGACACGGGAGAAGAAATGAAATTTTATTTATAACAAACTTCATTTAGCCTTTAAAAAAATCATTTTATTAGGGGCTTGTACAACTCTTAACACAATCCATACATATATCCATTGTGTCAAGCACATTTGTGCATTTGCTGCCATCACTCTCAAAACATTTGCTTTCTGTTTGAGCCTTTGGTATCAGCTCCTCATTTTCCCCCTTCCTCCCTGTTTCCCCCTCCCTCATGAACCCTTGATAACTTATAAATTATGTTGTCATATCTTACACTGTCTGATGTCTCCCTTCACCCACTTTTCTGTTTCCATCTCCCAGGGAGGAGGTTATATGTAGATCCTTGTAATCAGTTCCCCCTTTCCA